TTGACTCTGGAGAGAAAATATGAAAAGCCAAGTGTTTGTATTGGTGCAAGAGATGAAGAACTTGAAAAAGATTCTATGGATAATTCGGATGAGAAAAAGCTGGAAGAAGTAGTGAACATGGTGAAGTTGAAAAGAAAAAACCCAAAACTCAGTGTGCGAGCATTTCCTAGAAGCTATTGAAAACTAGTATGGCTGGGCTGGGGAGTAATATTCTTATGTATTGTCATTCACTTCCTTCTGGATTTGTGTTTAAAAAGATAAAAAGAAAAAGAAAGAACATGTAATTTCATTAGAAGATCTAATTGAAAGTGTTCTGCCCTGGGTCCAAATGTTACCAAAATCACTCTAGAATCTTTTCTTGCACAGAAAAGAAAAAGACAAGAAAAGATTGATGAACTTGAACAAGATATAGAAAGAAAGAAAGCTGACTTCAAAGCAAGGAAAGCACTAGTGATCGATCAGTGGTTGTGGAGTGTTTGAATTTTGTCCCAAACTGGTTCATGATGATGATGAAGAAGGAGATGATACCCATTACACCTAGGGAACAGGCGGTGATGAAGTGGATGATTCAGTGAGCATAAATGACATAGATTTAAGCCTGTCCATCCCAAGAGATGTACATGAGACAAGTATTACTGTAGCCAGTCTTGAAAGATTCAGCACATATACTTCAGATAAAGATGGAAACAAACTAAGGAGGTAAGGCTGAAAATGGTTTAAAAAAAAAAAAAAGTGACTTAGAAGAGGACAATGAAGGGGAGGGACAGGAGAATGGAGCCATTGATGCTGTTCCTATTGATGAAAATCTTTTTACTAGGGAAGATTTGGACAGACTAGAAGAAGAATTAAACACACTCGATTTAGAAGAATGGCACCAAACAAGTCAATGAAAAAATTAAGTCAGCTCAGCATGAGTTGAAATTGACTACATTAATTTTTTTCCACCTAGAATTAACAGGATGTTTATTTCCCATGCTGATTCTGGAGGGCTTACCCTCCTCCAAAAAAGGAATATTCTAAGTCTTCTCTTCTGACTTTGGCTACATCTCATAGTAAGTTCAGAGGAGTTCATGATAAATTGAAAATATAATGGTCGTTGCAGAAAATGATTGATTGTTGCAACTGTCCACTCAAGTAGGAAGTGGAACTGCTTTTCCACCTTTTGATTTTCACTGGGCATGTGTTATTGCTAGGAACAAAACATATTTACATTTAAAGTATGCTTCATTTGATGCAGTTTTTAGTGAGTGATTTTGATTCTTTTGTATTTATTTGTTTAAAGACTACCTAAAACATGAGCACTGTACTTCAAAAAAGAAACTGCATAAACAGATTCAGTACATCTTTGGAGAGTTAAATGGACATTGCAAATCAAACTTCTTTAATCTGATAGGATCAGCCATGATGCCCTGTGTAAAACTGTTCAAAAGTTTTCCCTTTTTTTTGCCAATAAAATTGTAAATAAAGACCATCATACATTAAAATAACAAAAAGAGAGCAAGACAAAAAAATCTGCCTCACCCAGCTTACATTCTAGTGAGGAAGGGCACTGGGTAAGCAAACTGAATTGTGAGTTAGATGGGATAAGTTCTACAGATAAAAATAAAGCAGGGTGGGGCAGATGGGCAGTCTGGCTTTTCCAGAAGCAAACACTGAGATGAAGTTTGGGGTCCACACCTATGAAAGGAAGGGGGAGGGAGCAGGATTGGGCAGAGGGAGATCTTGAACGGTGATGGAAGCCCAACAAAGATGAGGGTGGGGGTTGGATCTGGAGTGAGTATAGTCCCTCAGAATGTCTCACATAGGGCAGAAATGGTCAGTCCCTTATAGCCCCCACTTCAGTCAGTCACCAGATGAAGGCTGCCCTGGGAAGGGTGGGACCTCAGCTGAGGCTCTATGCAGCCAAGGAGGACCCCGGAGGCATTGAGAGCCAGAGATTGTTTGGCACTTGCTCTTCCTGCAGCTCCCCCTCCAAAGGGGATCTAGTGGTACAACTCCGTGTCTACCACATGGCTGTGCTTAAGGGAAGGCCTCATGGAGCAGAGACCAGAAGGAGTTAAGGAAGTGAGCCCTGCAGACATCTGAGGGAAGAGTCTTATAGACAGAGGGCACAGAATCACAGACCTTGAGTGTGGCTGTGCTTGAGGCCTGAGGGAACAGCATGGAAGCTAGTAGGGCTGGACCCAGTAAATAGCAGGAAAGGAGTTCAGGGCAGCAGTGGGCCACATCTGAGGCCACTGTGAGGACTCTGCTTTTACTCTGAGCAGGAGTGGAGCCATGGAGGGGTGAGGGCAGTGGAGATCCTGGAGCAGGAGAGCCCATGAGGAGTCCACTGCTGGGCTTCCAGAGAGGCGAGCTAAGGGTAGGCTGGGGAAGGAGCAAGAAGGTGGAGAGACTGTGAGACACACTGCAGATTCTAACCTCTGTAGACTGTCAGTGTGTGGGACTCTGCCCAAATGCTTGCCAATGCAACTGTTAATGAACACTAGGCAATTGTTAACTGGGCCACTTTAGCCAGTGTCTGTCGCCCTCTGGTGGGCATGCAGAAGATGACCCAAACCTGCTTCCAGCTTTTCTTCTGCCAGCAGTCTCTGGGTTCTAAGGGTTCACTTTCAACTCTGGGCTATGGAAACTCTCTTGTCACAGAGGGTGCAGGTGTCAGGCAGCACTTGGGAGGAAACAACTCATCAGCTCAGAGACAGGAAGGCAAAGGGAACATACGGTGTCAATGCAGCATATCCACAAGAATGAGTCTCATAAACACAGTATTGATCAAATAAATCAAGTTGCAGAAAAATACATACATTGATTTCTTAAAAACAAGCACCTGCTATGTCCTGAGCACTCTTTTAGGCACTGAGGAAATAGCAAATAAGACAGACAAAAATCCCAGCCCTCCTGCATTCTAGTACAAGGAATTAAATATATAAGGAAAGGTAAAATAAGCTCAGAGTGTAAAAATCTGTCCTATTTATCAGCACAGATAAAGGTAGCTTTAACAGGAAACAATATTTCTCTCAAGGACATGCTGCAGCTGTAGTCTCATAATAACCCCTTCTTTGAGTGACTACTGAGTTTTTACTAAGCAACTTTGTTCTCTAAAATCAAAACTTTGAAATCATATGTCAATCCCTCCAGGCAACAATCACCAGGAACATACCTGTTGCTGAAAAAATTGAGTTTATTACTTATTGCTGTGAGACAGAATGTATACCATGGGGAACCACAGGGCATCTCGTTAAGAGAGCGTTAGAAAATAATTATAGGATTTGGGCTTGTTACATGATTTGAGGGTGAGCTTAAGGAAGCACTGCTTTGCTCGGGAATAGATGTCAGAAAGTGGGGTTAATTCTGTTTGGGTATCTTAATCTTATCTATAGGGAGGGCAGACTACAGCAAGGCTAAAGCTGTGATTGATAAAGAAGCAGTACCCTTATTAGCTAGGAAAGGGGATGTTTGGTAGTTTGTGGCTTGAACAGTGTTCATGTTTTGTGTTCAACATGATTACTGAGTGATCTAGTTTTGTCTTGATCCATCACAAGCACTCTGATGTTGATGTTTTGTGAAATTGTTTATGCGCAACAGAACACCAAGAACTAGTTGTGAATGTCAGGCCAGCTCCTCGAGTGTCAGTGGCTGCTTTTCTCTTTCGCATATACCAGTAAGCACGAAACACCCCATTCTTGGTTTGAGTATTTATATCACTTTGACACAGGGAAGCAGCCTCGATTTCCATCCTAGTTGCAGACCTTCTGAAAAATGACTACATTCCACATCTATCTTAACCTTGTAGTTTTCACAGAAATGTTACCCGGGGTGCACTTTGTAGTCCAGGCCAGATATTTGTGTGATCCCTTTACACACAGCTGTGCTTTGCTTTGAGGCTATCAAAACACCACTTCATTTAAATTTCACCTAAACCCCATCCTTCCGCAAATCCTATAAGAACTCCCTTTTCCTTTAGTGGCAGGCCCAGGGCTCCACTGGTGTGCAATATTCTTCATTGCAATGAGTTAATAAACCTGGCTTTGTTAGAATTACAGGTTTGTCCCTGGTGATCTGAGGCTGATTGGGCTAGAACAAAACTATACACAGTATAATATATATAAATATTATGGAAAAATAAAAACAAGGAAAAATTAGTGTTGGGCCAGCCCGTGGCTCACTCGGTAGAGTGCGGTGCTGATAACACCAAGGCCCCAGGTTCGGATCCCACATAGGGATGGCCGGTTCGCTCACTGGCTGAGCGTGGTGCTGACAACACCAAGTCAAGGGTTAAGATCCCCTTACCGGTCATCTTTTAAAAAAAAAAGAAAAGAAAAGAAAAATTAGTGTTGGGAAAGGGACAGTTTGCGATTTAAATGGGGTGATCAGTTAAGGCCTCACAGATAGTGACATCTGAGCAAAGACCTGAAGAAAGTTGGGAATTTTTAATCGGCTGAATATTTGGAGGGAGCATTCTAGGAAGAGGGAATAGTGCAAAAGCTCTGAGGAGGGGCACACAAGGGTGTTTCAATTACACTTTCCTAGTGAGGCCTGCTGTGACAACCTCTTTAATTCTGAAACCTACACCACCCCCACCGTTACTCCCCCATCCTGCTTTTGCTTTTCTCCACAGAACTTTTCATGATATAATTCCGTGTTTATTATGCGTGTTTTCTGCTTCCCGCGAGGGCCTAAATCTTCGCCCATCTCGTTCACGAACTTAGCCCAAGCTTCTCAGCAGGCGCTTGACAGCCACGTGTGGAGGGACGAAGGCCCGGGGCTGGGGTGAGAGAGAGGCCAAGGGAAGGAGGAGGAGACCCGGTCGCGTGGGGCTTTGGGGACCACTGCAAAGACTTGGGCGCCACATGGACCCGCACGGAACAAGCGGGGTTTGTGGGAACGGAAAGCTGCGCCGCCAACGGTGCCCCATGACCCCGGACGCTACGCGCGTGCGCCGGCGGCAGCCTCAGCGAGGCGCCGGCCTGATTGGCTGCAGCAGGCGTCCAGAAGCCGCGTTGCGCATGCGTGCTCCTTGGCGCGCTACTGAGCTGGGTTCGCGGTGTGTGTTGCTCTCCCCTCTCTGTTGTCTCTGCGGCACTCCAGCTCCTCATCCAGGGCGCTAGTCCCCGGAGCCAGGAATGTTCACAGAACTCAATAACCTTCTTAACACCGCCCCTGACAGGGCGGAGCAGGTCAGAGGTCGTGCAGACCGGAAGGGGGCGGGTCCTGGGAGCGTGGCGGAAGACTGCATCCGGGATGTAAGCCTAGGAGCGGGTGGGAGAGGCACGAAGACTGTGCTCACCGCGCGCCTGGTAGTTGTAGTCTGGAGAGGGCCGAACCGGGGCTTGGGCTGGAGACTTGGCCCGCGGAAAGGGAGCTTCTGGGCCTTCTCGCATGTTCTCAAAGGCTGTGCGTGCCCTTTAAAGTCCCCAGGCAGCATGTCGGACAATTGGGTTGGCTTACATTCACAGGCGTGTACCGGGGAGCCCGTGCGTGCTCTCTGCGGTGGACGGTCCCCTGCCTCCCAGAGGAGGTTGCGGAACAGAACCGAGAGTAGAGTTCGATTCTCGCCGTCCTCATGGGACCAGCTTCTTAGCCCTGAGTCTCCCTGCCGCCCCGGAGCACTCGGTATTGAACGCTGCTGCTGCTCCTCTTCCTCTTCCTGCTCGTGGTCACTAACAGAGCTCTTTGAAGCTACACGCAGCCACCACTGGGTTGCACCAAGTCCGCCTTTGGCGCCGCAGCCTTGTCACTATTTTCTCCACCTTTGTGCTCGCACTCTGGGGCACCTCGAAATCTTTCACATTTAGCGCAGGGATTACCTCTTCCAGGAATATATCTGGCTTATTTCACAACCTTTGTCTTCCTACTGAAATGGTAAGCTCCTCCAGGCAGCCATGATACCATGTGTGTAAAGCCTTTTTATGACCCCATAGTACCTGGCAAATTGTAGCTTTCAGTAGATCCCTGTGGATTTTAGTTGCCCAGCAGTTTGTGTGTCCAAGCCTTCAGATAGCTGTGGTTACCTTTGCCATTATTGGCACTTCCAAAGTTCTCAGCCCAGGGCAAGAGAGAGGGAATGGAGGATTGAAATGGGCACCAGGAAATGACGGCACTGGGAGTAACCTTCAAGATCTGACTGTGATCTTTCATATTTTGTAAGTAAAAAAATTGAGGCCCAGATAAGTTAGGTACTTGCCTAAGGTCACACGGCATGAGGTGGCATGTATAATACCACTTGATCCTGACCCACCCTGTCACTGACAGAAAACTAGACGTAGCTGTAGCAGGGCAGCCAAGCACTGCAGAGACCACGTTTAGAGGTCTTGTCGGGCTTCTCCATGATCAAAGCTCTGCCTGAAATAGGGCCATTGGAAGAAGTTTGTTATTGGAGGAGTTTGTCAACAACTAGTTCTTCCTCCCCTTTCTCCCACATTATAGGACAGAATTGGCATCAGAATTAGAAACAGGAGGAAGTTAGGTCAGAAGACCTTTTTGAAGATCCCTTCCAATCCTGGTAGTCTCGTTTTCATTGGAGTCTGATGGTAAAAGCATCCTTTGTTCAGGATCTGATTCTCCAAAAGACTGGTCCCTGAGTTACTAAGTTGAGGATTGAGGAAGAGAAGGAATTTTTATCCTCTGTTGCTTTGAGAAATTGGAGGCTGAGATATGTTTGACCATCATGAGTAACTTAATACTGATAACTTTAATCATTGATTTTTCCATAATTTTGACTTCTTCCCCCCCCCCCCCCCCCTCTTTTTGTCCGGGGGGGGGGGGGGGAAGGCAAAAAATTGGGAAAAACAAAAATTAAAAATATTAACTTTTAAAATTTTTTTTTCCCCCCCCCCCCCCACAGATGTGGCCCCCCCCCCCCCCCTCTTTTTGTCCGGGGGGGGGGGGGGGAAGGCAAAAAATTGGGAAAAACAAAAATTAAAAATATTAACTTTTAAAATTTTTTTTTCCCCCCCCCCCCCCACAGATGTGGCCCCCCCCCCCCCCCTCTTTTTGTCCGGGGGGGGGGGGGGGAAAAAAAAATTTTAAAAGTTAATATTTTTAATTTTTGTTTTTCCCAATTTTTTGCCTTCCCCCCCCCCCCCCCCACTATTTTTGGTGGCTGGCAGGTAAGGGGATCTGAACCTGTGACTTTGATGTTATAAGGCTATGCTCTAACCAGCTTAGCTAACCAGCCAGCCCTATTTTTTTCTTTCTTGGGTAAACTCAGCATATATATCATTAAAAAATACACTCTCTAGGTGTAGAAATTTAGGCCTGGACCCTATTGACTAGCTTTCTGTACTGAGCTGACCTCTTTTGATGGAGTCTAATTCAAATTTTGTGTTTCTCTTAATTTTTAGGGGAAACTTACTCTACTCTGTGATGCGAAGACAGATGGCAGTTTCCTTGTGAACCACTTTCTCTCCTTCTACCTCAAAGGTATAGGACTCATTGATACTGTAGAAAAAGAAACCCAAGGCAAAATAAAACACAAAAAACCAGAACAAAACAAAAAACCAAAAACTGAACTGTTTCAGGAAGCAATGGGAAGACCATTTACTAGCCAGGGCTTTGGTGTTTGGGTGACTGATTACTGGGCCATCTTGTTCCCTCCCCATCCCTGCCAAAGAGTGGCATGTGCTGACCATATCCATGTTCTGCCTTCCCCTTCTCCACCCACTGTGCAGGCGTTGCCTCACTGAGGTTATGTGGCCTCCTGATTTAGTTGCTCTCTAGTCCTCGTGTATCATGAGGTCTCTGGGCTTTCCACCCTATTGACACTTTGCCTTGGCAGTAAATGCTTCATAAAGAACATGGCCACTGAGTTTACATATGGAAATAGACTAGATAAAGAAAATGGCCAAATGAAAAAACTCATTTATCAGCAGATACCCCTTGAGCATGTACTGTGTCAGGCCAGGCTATGAGATAGACCTTTGGCACTCATAGTCATAATCATTTACAGCTTTTTTTTTTTTTTTTTTTTTTGACAACTGGCCTGTATGGGGATCTGAACCCATGACCTTGGTGTTACCAGCACCACACTCTCCCAGGTGGGCTAACCGGCCAGCCTCATTTACAGCTTCGAAAGTGATTTTCTTTTTCAGATGATGTGATCATCAGCATAGAAAAAGCAAGAGAATTTACTGGTTTTTTTTTTTTTTCCTTTTTGTCTTTTTTTCGTGACCGGTAACGGGATCGCAACCCTCAGTGTCGCGCCCGTACCGTGACCGGCAACGGGATCGCAACCCTCGGTGTCGCGCCCGCACCGCGCTCAACCAGTGAGCAGACTGGTCTCTATATGGGATCCGAACCCTCGGCGGGAGCGCTGCCGTGCTCCCAAGCGCCGCACTCTACCGAGTGCGCCACCGGGCTGGCCCGAGAATTTACTGTTAAATTATTAGAATTAATAAGCTTCAGACAGGTAGCTGGAGCTTCTTTGTGCTTCCCTTATTTCCTGTTGGATACAGGACCAGTATTAAAAAAATCAATTGTCAGGGGCTGGCTGGTTAGTTTACTTGGTAGAGTGTGGTGCTGATAACAGCAAGGTTAAGGGTTTGGTCCCCATACCAGCTGGCTGCCAAAAAAACAAAACAAAACAAAAAAAAACCAGTTATGTTCCTGTGTCCCGACAATAAACAGAAAAAATTTTTTTAAAAGGCACAGTTTATTATAATAGAACAAAATTAAGTATTTCTTAATACATCTAACAGAAGTACATCCCAAAATCAATGAAGTGAGGAATAACGGTTAACTATGAGAAAAAGTACATCTTAGAATCAAATTGAGTATGTCAGGTTACAAGGCCTCTGGGTTTCTAGATTTTTCTCAGTATTTTTGTTTCCAGAGGTACGAAGTGTATCCTCTGTTTACTGGTTGTAAACAGAGGATTTATTAAAAATCATTTTATTTTGTTTTCTAGCTAATTGTAAAGTCTGCTTTGTGGCACTCATCCAGTCCTTCAGTCACTACAATATCGTGGGACAGAAGCTGGTAAATATTTTAGACTTCTGTGGTGAGGTCCCTGAGTGAGTCAGGCATGTGTGAGCATGGTCTAAGGCTGGGCTTTCCTGTTTGGGTTGTAGAAAACTTAGCAAAGGAGGGACTAAGGAAATCTTTGGATGCTGAACCCCTTATCTGAAGGGGTGAGGCAGCATTTCAGCATGTTTTATCAATTGAGAGTTCGTAGAACTGGACTGTTGTTTGTGGATCTTTTTTTTTTTTTTTTTAAAGATGACCGGTAAGGGGATCTTAACCCTTGACTTGGTGTTGTCAGCACCACGCTCACCCAGTGAGCAACCGGCCATCCCTATGTGGGATCCGAACCCGGGGCCTTGGTGTTATCAGCACTGCACTCTCCCGAGTGAGCCACAGGCCGGCCCATTGTTTGTGGATCTTAATCAAATCCTTCTCTACTGATTCTGGACAAGTTAAGGTTTTCTTCTCAGTGTGGACTTTAATCTTGGTCTTGCTGGGTTGGAGAACACGGCTTGGTCTGCTGCCAAGTTGGATGCCTCCACTGTCTCTGCCTAATTATAGGGCTTGAGACCCAAATGTGGGGAGAGGCACTTTTGTTGCCTGCCCCTCATCTCTTCTTGGCCTGCCCCTCATCTCATCAGATGCAGCCAGGAAAGAATAAGATGGCAAAAAAAAATAAAATAAAATAAGAAAAAAAAAAGTACAAAAAAGTAACAACAACATTAAAAAGAAAATGGCCAAGAGTCTGGTGAACCTCTTGAACCAGGCTGGGCCATTACATGTAACCTATGACCAAGTGGACTTACTACCTGAGAATGGGAGCTGAAGAGGTGTATTTGGTTTTTCTTTGGGTAGGCCATCCTTAGAGAGGGTGAGAACCAGGTCACTCATCAGAAGTGATCTTTAAAATGCCGATCTTACTGTTGGGCTAAGTCACTGCCAACCTGTGTATTCTCATGTCCAGATTGGCCACTTTTCTTTTTTTACCTTTGAGTCATAATCAACATGGCAAGGATGGCTTGTACAGTACTTGGCATGTGAAGTACAGGAGTGTGAGCTTCCATATTCATGGCATGTTATTGCACTTACATAAGTAGACTAGTAATGAGTAAGAGCAAAGGTGATGATCAGTCTTTCTCTGTTGGGGCAGCTGTTTGAGCGAATGGTGTTGGATAGTGGAGGACGGTGGGTGTTCAGTGTGTGAGTTAGCAATTGACACCTGTTCTAGAGGCTTGGAGAGTCTAAAGAGTTCCATGTGATCTATTTCTGCACAGATAGAGTACTGGGTTGCTTATTTTGAATGCATCACCATCCCTGTGTATTTGTTGAAATGCAGATCCTGGGTCCTACCCTCATTCTGGAAGTCTGAAGTTGGGTCCAGGGATCTACATTTTAATCAGGCATCTCAAGGGGTTTTTAATTGGGCGGTTCATGAAAAACCATATTTAAGAAGTCCTGGTCTAGAGCAGGGGTAGGTAAACTAAATTTCTGCATCCCTTGTTTTTCATAAATAAAGTTTTATTGGCACACACCAACACTTGTTTATTTACAAATTGTCTATGGCTGCTTTCACTCTACAGCAGCAGAGTTGAGTGGCTGCAACAGAGACTGTACGGTCTGCACAGCCTATCTGGCCCTTTACAGAAAAAGTTTGCTGATCCCTGGACTAGAGCATCAAGAGTTCATGTTGCCCTAACTTTGATGGGAGTACTTCCTTAGTTTAAGGAAAATAAAATAGAAGGAACTTACTTATAATGAATTCTTACTGTATTTCAGGCAGCCTGATGGTTATAGTCCATGAATTGTGTTCTTTAAAACCTCAGACCAGTTTTCAGGTTCCATGCCCCTGGTGGGCAAACAAAGCCAAAAATCTGGCCCTTTCTCTGGTACTGGCATTTTCCGGATCATTCACCCATCATATTGTTATTATTTACTTATTATTTCTTTTTAAATGTGCTTAATTTTATAAATACATGCATTTAAAAATGAAATTTTTTATTACTATTGTAGGGGAAATTATAATTACCCAATCAGTATTGGATAATTATAAAAATAGATATGTAAACAAAAGAATGTAAGTTTTCAAAAAGAATGTGACAGTTAAATGGAAATGCACATCTAAAAACAGAACAGGGGCTGGCCCTGTGGCGCACTCGGGAGAGTGCAGCGCTGGGAGCGCAGTGACGGATCCTATATAGGACTGGCCGGTGCGCTCATTGGCTGAGCGCGGTGCGGGCGACACCACACCAAGGGTTGTGATCCCCTTACCGGTCACGAAAAAGAAAAAAAAAAAAAAAAAAACAGAACAGGAATTGTAGGTTCGAAGTACCTAGGGGAAAGAAGACACGGGCCCCGTGTGTAAAGTAGACAAGTAAACATTTGCAGGGTTTCGAATGGTCTTGTGCCCTCTCGTGAGCTAGCATCTAGTCCTCTGATGGGTTCCTCTACAAGGCACAGTAACTCATTCACCTTTGTTGTGTTTAGGGTGTCAGCCTGACCACTGCGCGGGAATGCGGGCAGCTTGTGTTTCTCGAGGGTCTCAAGTCCTCTGTGGATGTCTTCTTCCAGGCTCAGGAGGAGCCACATCCCTTGCAGTTTCTCAGGTCAGTCAGCCTGAAGCCCAGCCCAAAAGGCCACACCTGGCAAGTGGGCCTACACAAGGGTGGATGTGTGATTCCTTCTCCTTGTTGTGTGGGAGGACAAAATTGGCTTCAGGAGTCAGATACTTCACCTGGTGTTGCAGCATTATCAGAAAGCCCTTACCTCTTATCATGAAGCCGAGGGTATACAGTTGTCCCAAAAGCTTAGAGAGCATCATTTGCTGGGAATATGGCAGAAGAGTATGCTTTGCTGTTTTTTCCAACCCTAGTATACATCTTTGCTCTGTTCTTGGCTTGATATAGGGAGCAGCAAAGTATGGGCCATGGGCCAGCCACCTGTTTTTGTAAATAAAGTTGTATTGGAACACAGCCACATTGATCTGGCTGTTTTGCACTATAGTAACAGAACAGTTGAGACAGAGACTGCAAGCCTAAATATTTACAATCTAGCCTTTTAAGAAAAAGTTTGTCATCTCCTGGTTTGGTATTCAGCATCACAGGTCTGAGATTAGCTTTCCTCCTTGTCCTATGTGAACATCAGCCACAGACATAGCTGTGTGCAGACTCCCCACTTGGCTGCTGTTCTTTCTCTACCAAAAAGGAAATCATACAGGAACTTTTCCCACTGCCCCCCTCTCTCAGACACACCCTTATGCAGTGGCTGGGAAGCTGTGTTCCCTGACCCTGTGTGTGTGATCTCACACACATCCCTTTGCACCTGTGACCCTGGGTTTCTTCATCTGAATGCAGGGGCTGGTTACCCCTGATCCCAAGGTGTGGGGAGTCATCCTTGTTGTTAGTGGAGATAACCCAATGCCAGGACCTCATCCCTGTAGTACGAGGCTGTAGGGCAGTTGCCTGAGCCCTGTGCTCTGTTCCCCAACCCATTAATAGGAAATGACTGCTGGGAGTAGTCATTGAGGAAGACAGAGGTAGGTAGGCCAGCTTGTATCAGGAGCAGGCTGAATCTGTTATGTGTACTAGCAGCCCTTAGGGTGCTGCCCCTCACCACCAGGTCACCTGCATTACTGTTTAACTTTTTATAGCCACATATGACCTGCTGGGAAGCTTTTCTTGCCTGCCTGGTCCAAGTTAATCTTCCAGATGCCTTAAGCTCTTGGGTTGAGAGGTTGTATGGTGTCTCTTAAGGGCCCCAGGGCTGTTTATTTTTGTGTCTCTCAGTTTCTAGTACAGTGCTTTGTACCTAATAGGCCTCAGGAAATATTTGATTTGGAGTAAAACTTACTTGTGCACATGTGCATGCCTTTTCTTTCCTGCCTAATTGAGAACCTCCTGATGCCAAGATCTGTGATAAAGTTCTTTGCTTCCCCCAGCCCTTTCCTGTGGTGCTGCTTGGTCCCAGATAAACATTTATGGAGAGAGTGAACTTTGGTGACTTTTGTCCTGTGTCTTCAGGGAGACCAATGCTGGGAACCTGCAACCATTGTATGAGTTTGTGCGGGAGGCCCTGAAGCCTGTGGACAATCGGGGCGCTGCGTGGAGGTGCCCAGTGCTGTTGGTAGATGACCTCAGTGTGCTGCTGAGCCTGGGCATGGGGGCGGTGGCCGTGCTGGACTTCATCCACTACTGCAGAGCCACTGTGTGCTGGGAATTAAAGGTACTAATGATACTGCATTCTGCACTCCCACCTGTGACCTCTGAGACCCTAGACAGGTCCAGACTTACTTGCTTTCAGTGATCTTTTTATTTGCTTGAAGTTTTGGCTTTACTCTGGCAAGCTAAGAAATCTTTTGGTCTACCCACCCTGCTACCCCCTGCTTGCCATTGCTAAAAAATAAAGCCCTCGAAATTAAAGGGGTGACCAGCTCTGTGTTCAGTAGGGCTGGTCATGTGTGGTACTGCTTCAGTCCCAGCTCTGCCACTCACTGCTGTGTGTTCTGGGGCAAGTTTTTATCATCCCTGAGTGTATTTTGAAGATCATCTGAGATAATGGGTGTCAACTTTTTTACGTATTGTAAAGTGCAATACAAGTATAGGATGTAAGATATTACCTTTATTATCAAATTATAGGCAAAAATAGAAATTTTTTCCATAGGAGAGTTTTTAACAATAGTAGACCAATTAAATAGGAATGGCTGTGGTGCCTACCTCACAGGTACCTGACTGTCAGAATTAAGTGATATGAAGCTTATAACACACCAGCATGGTGTCTGGCCCATGGTAGCCACTCTTCAGTTTGTGATGTGCAGCTGGTAGAAGCCCTTGGACAGTGAGTGGTGTGGTGTGGTCAGGGGGCAAGTGTGGGGCAGTGGGACAGATGGGCTGAATGAGTTAGCCAGGGGCATGGATAACCAGCAATGTGTGTTGAGCATGTCCTGCCTGGAAGCTGTGTTCAGGGAACTGCTGAAGCTGTCCCAGGTACAGTTGCAGGGCCAGGAACCAGAGTAATGCGGAGGGAGTGGGAGGAGGAGAAAATGTAGGGGCTTGGAGGGCAGTCAGGGTTGGAGTGACAGTAGTCAAAGGTGCCTTCTACAACTCAGCTTGCTCCGTGGCCTGCTGCCACCCTCTTTTTGTGAAAATAGCTCTCTTAGTTAGAAAAGTTAAACTTGGACATAGCTTAAAAAAGAAGAGGAAAGAAAGAATATAATGTGTGCTTTAGCAAAAAGTGATTGTCTCCCTCCCTCCAATGTGTATCCTTCTAGGGAGTCTATGGAATAATGAACACATTTGTATGTTATTTGTCTCCCTGCATTTTTCTTCACATTACCTGCTATCCACACTGTTTAGTATTTCTTTTTTTTCATTTAATAAAACATACAAGGTGCATCCAGGCCAGGCGACCATGGGGGAGACCATCATGGGGGAGCCAGCACCATTCGCCCCTGAGGCCCTGAAGATTGGCCAGTGGGCCTGGCCCTGCTCACCACCGTCAGCAACTGGGCTGACCAGGGAGCTGGAATCAAAATCCCCTGGGGCCCTCAGATGGGGGGCCGAGGGCTTTATCCCTACCCCCCCTTGCCACATCTCCCTCCCAACAACATCTTAGAGTATACTTATTAAACATGAATGTTTCTATGGGGTGTGTAAAAAAAAAAGCCAGAGAAACCATTAATCTTTAAGAAAGAGAGAACAGATCTATGGTTATTAGAGGTGGGGTGAGGGTGAGGGGGATGAGGAGAGATTGGATAAGGGGTACAAAGAATAAGTACGATTTGTAATATTATGCTAATAACATTGATCAACATATGCTGTACACAGGTGATGGGAGACAACATTGTACTCCAAAAATATGTAATAATCAATTATATTTCAATTAAAACACACACACACACACACACATGGGCTGTCCAATTAGCTCAGTTATTTACAGTGCGGTGTTAGGGGTTCAGATCCCTGTACTGGCCAGGTGCCAAAAAAAGTATGTTTTGTTCATTGCCCAAAAAGAGAACACATCGATCTGCTGCATTCTTTTTACCTTAATCTTTTTTTTTTTTTTTTTTTTTTTGGCGACTGGCCAGTGTGGGGATCCAAGCCCTTGACCTTGGTGTTATAATACTGTGCTCTAACCAACTGAGCTAACTGGCCAGCCCTTGCTGCACTCTTTTTAACGACTAGATGATACTTACTATTCAAGCTGTCACTTTTTGATGAGGTTGAACTTACTCTCCATTTCTGCTTGGCTAACTCCTGCTTGCCCTTCAAGACTCAGCTCAGAAGTGCCCACCTGACCCCTTCCTTCTGGCTAGATAGGATGCCTCTTCTCTGTGCTTCCCCAGGACCCCATGCTTCCCTCTCTTCTGGCATTGTCATCCAGTATTGTCAGCATCTGTCTCTCTCCAGGGACCATATCTCTTGCCTTTTATCCCCACTGTGGGGTCTGATACACAGTAAGTGCTTAGGGACTGTTGACTGGATAAATTGGTGCCTGGCAGAATGGTGGCATTTTTTATCTTTTTAGAAAGATGACCAGTAAGGGGATCTTAACTCTTGACTTGGTGTTGTCAGCACCACGCTCTCCCAAGTGGACTAACTGGCCATCCCTATATAGGATCCGAACCCATGGCCGTGCTGTGATCAGCACCACACTCTCCCGAGTGAGCCACAGGCCGGCCCAGAATGGTGGCATTTTTAATAACATTGACTGATCAGGAGAATGAGCTAATTCTGAAGACCATAGGGCGAGCTTGGTTTTAGATGAATTGAGCTGGAAGACAGGTTGGACATGTTGGTGAAACTGTCTAGTAGATGGTGGGAATTAGGGTCCTAGGGCCCAGGCAGGGGTTTTCCCACAAAGGGGCTGGTGGTAGCAGCAGTTGGAATGGTATTTGTGGGAGGATGTGCAGGGGAGTGGAAGCTCTGAGAGCCCAGTGCTCCCTTACCCTAGATGTCCCTTCCAGTATGGAGCAGGTTTCCATCTTATATCCAATGCAGGGAAACGTGGTGGCTCTTGTGCATGACAGTGGAGATGCCGAGGATGAGGAGAATGACATCCTACTGAACGGCCTCAGTCATCAGAGTCACCTGATCCTGAGGGCCGAGGGCCTGGCCACTGGCTTCTGCAGGGACGTGCATGGACAGGTATGCAGGGGCTGGGGCCAGGGGCTCACTGGGCAATGGGCTGCTTGCCCCTGTGCCTATGAATACAGACTATACTGTGAACCTATGTTAGGTTCACAGGCTTGTCTGGTTGAGACATTCCTTCAGGTGGAAGGGGAACCTAAAAGGAACTCTCTTACATTGTTGGTGGGAATGCATAATGGTGCAACCCCTATGGAAAATGGTTTGGAGGTTCCTCAAACAGTTGCAGATTGATCTACCATATGACCCAGCTATTTCACTGCTGGGAATATATCCAAAGGAATGGAAATCATCAAGTCGAAGGTATACTTGTTTCCCAATGTTCATTGCAGCACTCTTCACAATAGCCAAGAGCTGGAATCAGCCCAAATGTCCATCATCGGATGAGTGGATACGGAAAATGTGGTATATCTACACAATGGAATACTACTCAGCTATAAAAACGAATGAAATACTGCCATTTGCAACAACATGGATGGACCTTGAGAGAATTATATTAAGTGAAACAAGTCAGGCACAGAAAGAGAAATACCACATGTTCTCACTTATTGGTGGGAGATAAAAATAAATAAATAAATTCACACACACACACACTCACTCACTCACTCACTCACTCACTCACTCACTACCGGGGGGGAGAAGAAGACATAACAATTACAATTCCTTGAAGTTGACACGACAAGCGAACAGAAAGGACATTGTTGGGTGGGACACATTTTCCATTTGTGACCAAATTGGAGGTCTCCTAAAGAGGAGACAGCTGTCTAGAGTAGAATGCAGGGGCCATGCCATCAAATAACAGCAAAATTCCCCTGCAGTACTACAGCAGGCTTTGTATATTCAGTTCAGTTTTATTCCTTTTAAAATAAAGACTCAAGAGGGCTGGCCCGTGGCTCACTTGGGAGAGTGTGGTGCTGACAACACCAAGTCAAGGGTTAAGATCCCCTTACCGGTCATCTTTAAAAAATAATAATAATAAAATAAAATAAAGACTTGGGGAGGCCGTCCCCATGGACTAGGGTTGCTGCTGCCCCCACTGCTGCCTCTTCCCAGAAAGTTCGGAGCACTTAGAAGCAGAGAGTCCTGCTCTGGGAGGGAAGCTGGGTTCTAACCTCTGATGGAGCTGCTGTGGTTCTGTGCCTTCTAAAACTTCTCTTTTGGAATCACCCCCAAGTCTCCCCTACATCTTTGAGGTTTACTTCATGTTGACCACTCTTGACCCAGTAAGGCTGGTTAGGAATCTTGGCACAGAGTCATTCAGAGGCAAGTCTGGCAGATAAAGCAAAGGAGTGAGCCCAGAAATGCTGCATTGGTAGTGCCTGTGGCACAGAATAAGGAGAAGGTTCTGCAGAGTAGCTGTGGTCTCTCTCTCAAGCCAGTCCTCCAGAGCATTGTTAGTCAGCAGAACATCATCAAAATAATCATCAAATGGCCTTCCTGAGCCTCTTCGTTGAATGTAGGAGTTTCAGAATTAGCAGTAAGTACAAAACCATGAAAAGAAAAAAAGACCCTAGGGAAATACATAAAAGTACTTTACCAGTTTTTCTCTGGAGGATTTTTTTCTTCCTTTTACTTTTCTTTTCTCTTTCACTTTTTTTTTTTTTTTTTTTTTTTTTTTTTTTTTTTTTTTTTTTTTTTTTTTGCAGCTGGCCGGTATGGGCATCTGAACCCGTGACCTTGGTGTTACAAGGCTGTGCTCTAACCAACTGAGCTAACCAGCCAGCTCTCTCTCACATTTTCTGTAATGAGCTAATATGATGGTTTAACAAAGGGGGAAACCTGTATTTTCAGTTAGCTGGTAATCTTTATTTTGGAAGTTGGTTCTCCTACTGTATGGCACATCTGACTACAATCTCATAGAAGCCTCACTGAAGGTCACAGAGAAGGCAGGGTGGGATTCACAATGGACAGGTACTTGGGGCAGCTGCTGCTCTTTCATTCTTCTCTCTCTCTGTAGCTGAGGATCCTGTGGAGAAGGCCGTCACAGCCCACAGCCCAGCGGGATCAGAGCCTCACTTACCAGTACAAGATACAAGACAAGAGCGTGTCCTTTTTTGCCAAAGGAATGTCTCCTGCTGTTCTGTGACCTGATTTAGGGGCAGTTGAAGCTACCGTGTACTATTTTTTTTTTTTTCCTTTTTTTGTCTTTTTTCATGACCGGCAATGGGATCGCAACCCTCGGTGTTGCGCTCGCACCTCGCTCAGCCAGTGAGCGGCCGGTCTGTATGTGGGATCTGAACCGTCGGCGGGAGCACCGCCGCACTCCCAAGCGGCGCACTGTAGCAGTGCACCACCGGGCCGGCCCCTACCGTGTACTATTTTTGGAAGTGGAAGATAAAGCAACCTAGCAGAAATGGGTCTTTACACCTTTGCAGTAGTATTTCAGTCTGGACTAGCAACTCTGCTGTGACCCAGGGAGGGTTGAATGGTATGATGCTGATATGCCTTTGTTCCCCAGGGCCCTGTTCAGAAAACACAATGAGGAATCTGTGACCCTCCCTCTGCTGAGAGAGGCTGGATATGAACCCTAGCAAAAGTGGTCCTTTGGAGCCTTCTGTGTAAATACGCTTTAGCCCCAACTGCCCATTTTTAATTTTTTTGAGTCTTTCAGAGCCAGAGTGGGTATGAATGAATGTGCCAGCCAGGAGATAGTCACAAATGGCAGGCATCTAAGGGGACAACTAGGATGGAATAAAGTGAGTTTGCACACTGGGGCTTCCTGGGGGTTGTCTCTTACTTTTGTCATCTTCCTGCAAATGTACTTTCCCTCTAAGTCCAGTGAGGAAACAGGCTTAAAGAAGTTTGGAAGCACAGTCAAGGCTGTAGGTGATGGGGTCTGACTCCAAAGTCCTCACTTGCTGACTGTTGTGGAAACCAGAGGCAGGCTCCCCACCTGAAGGTGTGACCCTTCAGCTTCTCCTGTATGTGCGATGCCTTGCCCATATGCTGATGAGTCCTCTCCATCAAGGGCCTGGCACCAGAGACTTGGTCACATGAGGCCCTGTGTATGGCACAGGTGTGTATGGCCTTGGTGAGAGGGGTAAGGAATGTTCTTGCCAGGCAGGATGGGTCCTTGGCAAGGAGCTGGTGCTTCCCTCACTTGTGAAGACTGCAGGAGGTGAACTCTTGCCCCAGCATCATCCTCGAACTCTTGACCTTGGTGTTACAAGGCTGCATTTTAACCAACTGAGCTATCCAGCTAGCCCCTTGCCTCAGCATCCTGTATATGACGACTGGTCCCACTCAGCCCCTCAGTCAAGGTCACTTCAGAGTGGATGCCAGGGGTATTCTCTTAAAATGCTTTTTTTTTTTGTAGATTATACTGCAATGAGTTTTATCTTAAAAATAAATAAAATGAAAAAAAAAAAAACCCTGTTTTGCAGTGTACTTAGAAACTTTACTATCAGGGGGCCGGCCCAGTGGCACACTGGATAGTGCACCGCTTGGGAAGCGCGGCGGCACTCCCGACCGAGTGTTCGGATCCCACATACAGACCGGTTCCCGCTCACTGGCTGAGCGAGGCGCGGGAGCAACGCCTAGGGTTGCGATCCCGTTGCCGGTCCCGGTCCGGTACAGGGGCGACACTGTGGGTTGCGATCTGTTGCCGGACACGGAAAAAGACAAAAAAAAAAAAAAAAGAAACTTTACTATCTGTTGTTTAATTTTAAGTTTTTTTACATTTTTTAGTCTTTGTAAAAGGGAAACATTTATCACCCCTCCCCCCAAATCATGCCAACTATTATGGAGATTATGCCACTGAAACAGTAGCTGTTTTTAATCTTAAAATGTTGCAGACCTGATAGAATATTTGAAAATTGAGTGTAAGAGAAGGTGGTTATTAAAGAATCTAATGATTCTTCTGTTAATACTTCCGTATTTATAAAAGCTTTATTTGAGCTACAATTCTGAATGGTCAAGGCACCATTTTTTTTTTTTTTTTTTAAATGACAGGCAAGGGGATCTTAACCCTTTACTTGGTGTTGTCAGCACCACACTCTCCCAAGTGAGCTAACTGGCCATCCCTATATAGGGATCCAAATCCGTGGCCTTGGTGTTATCAGCACAACACTCTCCCAAGTGAGCCATGGGTCGGCCCCTCAAGGCACCATTTTTTACTATTATATGAATGTTGCTGTCATGTTTCTTCACGTAGTTTGTAAATGTTTTCATTAAACTTTTTATGTTTAATGACTAGTCAGTATTTTATGGTGTAATTATATTCTAATTTGCTTAGCTATTCTCTTGGCATGTAGATTCCAGTTTTTACAGTTATCAATTATGTTGTTACAAATTCTATATGCTATACCTGTTTGGGCATGGGGACAAGTACTTGTTTCTTTAAAACAGTGACAAAACAGGTCAGTTGTGGAGCTTGTGGGACTGATATTCTAGTGGAAGTATGGTCGACAAAATTGAGAAGTGATATATGTAGAGTTAGACCATGATAAGTGTTACAAATAAAGCAGGCAAAGGACCTGTGAAAAGCTAGAGGTGATAAAATTTTAGAATCTATTCCCTAAAGTGGAATTGCTGAATTGCAGCATGAACTAAATGGTCCTTGCAAATTATCGGGTTGCTCTTCAGAGTTATGGAGCCAGTTAACAGTGATACATAGATTTTCCTTCACCAACTTTGGGTTTAACTTCTTATTAATTTCATAGTGGTGCAAAGTTGTGTGAAAATGGAAGTTTCTGGAGGTGGCCCAGTGGCGCACTGCTTTAGTGCGCCACTTGGGAGCACGGCAGCGCTCCCGCCGAGGGTTTGGATCCCACATACAGACCGGTTCCCGCTCACTGGCTGAGCGAGTTGCGGGCGCAACACCGAGGGTTGCGATCCGTTGCCAGACACGAAAAAAGACAAAAAGGAAAAAAAGAAAAAAAAGAAAATGGAAGTTTCTTTAATGACTAGGATATAATTTTCTCTATTTTTCCATGTGTACAGAATCTCTCACCCTTGCTTACTTAGCAATTAAACCCTTGTAACAACCTTATTTTATTAATTCTTTGTAATATTTTGAAAGGTAAGATTTTATCAGGCTGGCTGGTTAGCTCAGAGCACAGCCTTGTAATATCGAGGTCAAGGGTTCGGTTCCCCATGCACCCTCCCAAAAAGATTTTATTATTGTCTTTATTTATGAATAGTTTTCTACATTTTGGTTTTTAAACAATATTTTGTCTTCAGAAACATTGGCTTTATATTTAAATATTCATAGGTTACACCTGTTTTATATAAGGGACTGTAAAGATAAAAACAATTCTAAAGTCATCTGCAGTCTAGTGGGGGGTAGAGAACAGGAACATAAATAATGTGATGCAGTGGAGAATGTGATGAGGGCCATACACATGACTCAAATAATGTGAGGCTGATACAGAAAAAGCAATTATTCCCCCTCTTTTTTTTTTTTTTTTTAGTTGGGGGAGCAGAATATTGGGGAGGAATTTATGGAAGCAATGCTGTTTGAATAAGACCTTGGCATGTTCTTATTTCGTCTTTAACGGTATCTTAGCTCTTCATGACTCAGAAATGTACTTTTCTTCCTTAATAAAATAATGTTGCTGTTCTTTGTTTTCTAGTCGAAAACAATTTTTAAAATATGCTTAACATTTTGACTCATTTAGAATTTGTTACAGTAATTTGTCTCTGTGCTGATAACTAAATAGCCCAAAAGCATTTATTGAAAAGAAATGTCCTCTCTATGTAGTTTCAATTTGTTTATATATAAAGTTCTTAAAATTAAGCCTCTCTAAAATTTGTCTTAGAAGATATTAAAAGGTTAGTGTATGTCTGCTGTCAAGAGTATTAAAAGCGTATTTTGCCCATTTATTTATCCAGATGAATTTTGCCAGCACTGGCAAAACTCTGTTCTTTTTTTTGGCCGCTGGCTGGTGCAGGAATCTGAACCCATGACCTTGGTGTTATAAGGCTGTGCTGTAACCAACTGAGCTAATTGCTTGTCCCAAACTCATATAAAGTATTCTTCAGGGACTTTTTCTCTCATTTTTTTAAATTGTAGTTTTATGATTTTATTAAACCTAAGTGAATACTTTAATATCCTTTTATTACAAGCTTTTTGTTATTGGAAAAGAAAGTACCTGCTTTTGTTTGTCTTTCTGTGATGTTTGACATAAAAATGAAGTTGAATTTTTAAAATGTATAACTCATTCTATAGTTTTTTCTAAACTGTTAACCTCTAATGATATCTACAAATAATGATACCAACCTTGCTTATTTTTTCCCTTGGGTAACTTTAATCAGCATTTTAAAATTTGTTAAATAAGAGTGGTGTGAAGTTATTCATTGTCTAATTTCTGTTTTTTAAGGGACTAGGAAGCATTTTGTACAGTAATTCTTTTTTTTTTCTTTTTTGACAGCTGGCCAGTATAGAGATCCAAACCCTTGACCTTGGTGTTATAACACCACACTCTAATCAACAGAGCTAACTGGTCAGCCTGATATAGTAATTCTTAATTTTAAAATATAGTCATGCATTGCTTAACAATGAGGAAGCAGTTCTGAGAAATGCATTGTCAGGCAATTTTGTCATTGTGAGAACATCATAGAATGTACTTACACAATTCTAGCCTACTATACCTAAGCTATACTGTTATATGACTGGCAGTGCAGTAGGCTTGTTTATACCACTATCACCACAAACACATGAGTAATGTGTTGTGTTGTGACCTTACTACAGCGATGTTGTCACTAGACAATAGGAGTTTTTCAGCTCCAATATAATTTTGTGGAATCACCATTATATATGCGCGTCATCCTTGACTCAAATGTCATTATGCAGCACATGACTGTATATATTATCAAGTCAGTTTTAAAAAAAACAAAAACCTTGGAGAGGGAAAAGAGAAAAAGATGTTCTTCCTCAATCTCCTATCCCCCCCTTTTTAAGAGTTTAATCAGCATCATTATTGAATTCTGTACACCTTTTTAGCCTCACCAAGATAAGGCTCTTTTTTTCCTGTGAGCATCGTAATACTTTTCTCTCTTTTGTATGTAGCTTGAATTCATCTTACAGTCTTATTTTATTGGTATTCATTTATTTTCTGTTTTCTGCTGTTTATGTTAGGCTTGCTAAGATCTTTTAAACTTATTAAGATTTATTTATTATTATGATATGCCATCTATATTTGCAAGATGACCTAT